CATTTTAGAATAGCATTAACGAGAGTGTCATCTGAAAGGCACAGGAGGTAATTATTCCACTCTATTTGCTACTGGTCAGATCTCAGCTGGAATATTGTGCACACTTCTGGGCACCAACCCACAAGAAGGATGTAGACAAGCTGGAATGAGTCCAGCAGAGAACAACAAGAATGATTAGATGTTTTGAAAATGTGATTTAAGAAAGACTGAAAGAATCGGGTTTGTTCAGTCCAAGAATGAGAAGACTAAATTAGGAACGTGATAACAGTATTTCAATTTAAAACAGGTCATTAGAAAGAAGATGTTGTTCAATTTTACATACTGGGGAAGAATAATAACAAATCAAATTAATTTCAGATGTGGGGAAAATGCTACAATTTTGAAGACAGCGAAGTAATCAAGCAAATACATAAGGAGGTCAAAAAGGTTTTTGAGCATCAGATGAACAAACATCCACCATGCAAACCCATCGTACACCTGAAACTGCCTCCATCAAACGGGGGGAAAAAGGATGAATTTCTCTACGTTTCTTCCACCCCACATTTCTCAGTGCCCACAGTTTGATTTTTGGTTAGTTTGATGTCTTCTGGTGGGATTCTCAAAATCATTTCAGGACCGATGTGTTCCTTGCTCTCAGATGTCATTTGCACAGTGTGAGGATCATGTTGTACAACCCACTCAATAGTTACTGATCCCTCAGCTCTGGGTGGGGTTCAGAGAATAGGTTCAGACATGAAGGTTAGTATTTAAACCATGTTTTTGTCAACTGTTCAGATTTCCAGGTCTTCAAAACTAGGATAAACCTGGTTTGTAGGTGACAGGGCAAAGCAGTGCCAAGAGACCCATATTTATTACTTATTAGAGATGGAATCTTGTTGCGCTTTGTATCTGCTGAAGTAGCCATAAAATCCCACTTTAATAACCATGTACCTGTATAATAAACACATTTATAAAGCCTCCTCTGGAAGCTGGGGACTTGTGGAATATTTTGAAACACTTAGACTTGCATTTCCCAAGGAGCTCGGGCAATTGCCTCAGCATCTCCCCTTGAGACCCTCAGTCCTGGTGTGGGCCTTCCTGTCAATGAAATCTCATTAGCACCACTTTGCCAAATTAAATGGATTAAAGCTGGGAAGCAGCTGGAGCACAGAGCAGTCACATTGACTGTTGCCTTAGGTTAGGCTGAAATAAGCTGGCTTCAGGCTCCCTGTTGCATTTGACATCGCCCACAGTAGCCAAGCAGAGCAGTGGCTTTGCTTCTGCTTCAGAGTAAATTGCTGTGTCTGGGTGATGGAGCTGCTTCAGGGCAAGGGAAGTCACCTGCTGATAGCCATGCAGAGCAAACAAACAAACAAAAAAAAAAGGAGTAGGTGCCTTTTTACAGGGATCTTGGATGTTTTTGCCACGGCAAGCAAAAACCTTCCCACTCCTAGAGAGGTTTTTTTCATCAGGACTATTAAATGATTCACAATTTCACGTGTATGCTCCTCCAGGCTGGGATTTTCATCCTGTGTGCAGTAACATTGCTGCTTTGCTTGGCTAGAAATTTGTATCAAGTATTCCCATCAAAGCTTGGTCTCTCCTGGCCAGCTCAGCTGTTCCAGGTGAAAAGTGTTAGAACTTCAATGTTTGAAGGACTCCAGGGGCTGAATTCCTCAGAATAAATAAACATTCTTCTTCATTAGGTTGTGGATTTGGGCTAATAAATAGCAAACACTCTTTTGCCATCTTTGTGGAGCATTCCAAAGTGTGATACAAAGCTGAGGACAGAAGAGTGGGAAGGGAGGAGGGAAAGTAAAGGGGAGATGGGCAATAACTCCATTAATCCATCTGAGCAAAGGACAGGAAAAGAAAATGAAGCCTTAGAATTAGCACAAAGGCTCAGAGGGACATGTTCAGATGGCCTAAATTCTACCTAAATCTTTAAGTCCCTAAGTCTAATGTTTCCTTATTGACCAGGGATATATGAAGGTCTAAAACCAGCCAATAAGAAAGTCATAAAGGCTTAGGTGGAATTTAGGCCACCTAAATATATACAAAAATCTTCATAAAGGTGGCCTGTGGATATCCCCCTCACCTTCTGGCTCTAGGAGGCTGTGATCATGTCTTTGGAAAAGAATTTCTTGTGAACACTACAAGAGAGAAAATATCAACCCCCTGTGTCATGCAGCATTCCCTGGAACAGAGAAAGATGTTGGTCTTGAGTGTTTATGCCCATCATTTCTGTAACAAGCTCCAGGTCCAGAGATCTGGTCTGGTTTGAACTTGGGTATCCTCAGCCTTTAGTTTCACATGTGAATTCCCACTTGGGAAATTTGAATTGGGATGCAAACTTCTACAAGTCACTCAGACCTGGAAGTGCAGGGTGGTTCCATTCCCTCCTTAACTTTATTCTGGGGGCATTTTTTTTGTCTATTCTGTTTCACTCACACAGATACTTCCACAATGCTGTTTGTGTCTTTTGAACCCCAAGTTTCCCAGTTTTCCTCCAGCAAATAACTTCCTCCATTACTGACAATGATCCCTCACCCTCTCAAGGTGGAAGGTTGTAACTCAAGTGAAAGGAGACGTTTTATGTGTGAGAGGAACAGGCAAAAAACTGGGGACACTCTTGTCTATCAAGGTTTCAAAAAAGGGCCTGAATTTTACCCAGCCCTTCCCTGAGCTCTGCAGAAAGAGCCCAAGTAAATAATTTCTCTGGAAGCACATGGATCACAGGCTGACCCTCAGTAAGAAAACATCAGTGAGCCACTTTCCAGCTTTCCTCTGTTGCATCAGGGAATAAAGAGTGAGAAAATGTTCCTGAATTAATACAAACAAAGACACCCCTCTTCCCCTGGGGACATCTTCATCGCTTCCTATTGACTAGAGTTTGCAGACAAAGAGTGGGAAATTGAATTCAAGAGTCCACACTGCAAAACAAGGGCAGGGAAGTTGTGTTAGGGGAGCATTAAGAGATAAATCTTTCTTTTTTTTTTTCCTTTTTTTTTTTCTTTAAAGTGGTGTCTTTCCCTTCAAACCATTCCTAATCCCTTGACTTTCTGTTCATGAATAGATTGAATTTTTCACTATGACATTGCCTAAAGACAATGAGCGATTTCACAACAAATGATTTATGTACTGGAATCTGGAGAGATTTTTGCTCATAAGAACACTCCAGCCATTTATCTTGATCTCCTGATATATCAGAGCCACAGCTGTATGTCTCTAAATTAACTGTAGATTAAACAATTCAGGCTGGTTGAAAAGTGTAAATGCGAGAGAAAAGCTCAAAGAAGAAGTTCAATCAATTTCCGTGATTGGATTCTTATCAAGACAAAAATGTGAGCAGTTTCCATTGGCCATTTCAAGATAAATAAGCCAGGAGGTAAATAGACTCCAGGCATCTGTGAAGTTATATCATGTGTGCAAGGGAGTAGTTTTAAATAAAGCAAACAAGCTCGAGTTTCTGCCAGGGTAGGAGTCTGTGGTGCTGTGTAAAGTTAGTTTGCAGAATGTTTGGGGTTTTTTCTTTTCTTTTTTTTTTTTTTTTTTTTTTTTTTTTTTTTTTTTTTTGCTTGACAATTGTTGGAAGATAGAACAAGGGAATGACTGCAGCAATTCAGGAGCATGAAACATAAAACAAGGAACCAGAAGAGAAACAAAAAATGGGAGCACTGCACAAAAGACGAAGCACTCTACAGCACGCTCTAACTCCTTGGGAAAAGAGAGGGGGGGAAAAAAGGCTTATTTCTGCAGATCTTCAAGCAAGCTTTCTTGGCATCCAGGGGCAAAGTGAATGTGCAGCTCAGCTCAATTTGCCTTTTTAGCTCAAGCCTCGTCGAACTTTTTTCACTCATTTGCATTCCATGCGCAGCAAATGCACCCACACTCACGGGTCCAGAGCTCTTAATTCTGGTTACACCCACGAGAACCCACATTAATGCCATTAGTTTGGTTTACTTCTGGCAACAGAATATCAACACAATCCCCCCGCCCCCTTGCCAGTCACTGCTGCTTTTATCAAGATGTTGTCTAGACACAGGGCAAGGCAGGGAAGGCTTGATACAATAAACGCATCTGAACTGCACTCAGCCTTTCAGCTTCGTGAACTTTTTTACCTTATTAAACTCTTACTGAAGCATCAGGAGAGACGTGGCCTCTGCTCGATTCAGATGCACAAAGCCATGCTCTTAAAAGCACGAGTTTGCAGAGGTGGCAGCGCAGTGACTAATTTCTCTTTGCCTTTGTGCATGAGGGCTGCAGCCTGATCTGGCTCAATCAAGTTCAGCTAATTTGGAAATGATGAGTAAGATGGAGCAAGCTGCAAGACAGTGTAAGCAGGTCCCAAAGTGGGAATTAAGGTACATAACTAATAGAGGCATGTAATCCATACCAATATGGTGTGAAGGTTGAAAGGGATTCAGACGCTAAGCATAGAGGAAACAAAACTGGAAGAAGACTGTAAGGAAAAAAAAAAAATCTGCCTTTTATGCTACGTTTCTCTCCTGGTCCCTGCCTTTAAAATCACTGGGGTTTTGCACACAATTTCTACATCCCTCCAGGAGATGAGTGATCACCAGAGAGCCAGAGTTTCTCTCTGTGCACGCTGTGTGAGCTGGTTAGTGGGAAAGTACACCAGTGCCCTCCACAGGAGAGCTCCACATGGCGTGGGCATGGGGTCATGGGGTCAGCTCGGCGGCACCACAATACCCCAAATTATCTCACTAGGGTGGCTCTTTTGGTGGTACCAACGAAATCGAATCTTTTCTCGTCAGCGCCGGCAAGGAGCATCCTCGGCGTCACGGCTGGAGCTCTCCTTGGTTCTGAATCCTACCCGGTTCCTCTGCAAGTGGCTGTAACGCACAGCACAGGGGCAACCAGGGCATTCCTAAATGTTCAGCGCTTTCTCCACTGGCAAATATACATCCTAGCGTACACACCGATTGCTCCACCTCTGCCCAGGAGAGCCTCCCAGCACTGCCAGCTCCTGAAGGAGCTTGGCAAGTAAAAGTTCCTGAGAATAGCGGAGACAGAAATGAGTATGGAGTTTAGCAAGCCACCAAAAGGAAGGTGGCACCCAACCAGGAGATATTATCCCATCCCTTCCCTAGTGCTACTCCCATTTATCAGCATGGAGAGGCCAGATGAGTACAGACCTCTTGGTAGCCAGCACTGAAACCTTCAGGGCCCCAAAGCCGTGCAAGATGGTGCTGGGGTGCGAACCAAGGTCCTCGATTTGTCAAGACCAGTGAGCTTGTCCAACACTGGGACAGGCAGGTACAATATTGCCCTAAACACCTGCACTTCTCAGGCTGAGTACTTTTCACTCGAGAATGCAGAGGTCTGGCAACACCAGGCAGAGACACCCAGAAATGCCAGCAGATACCCAGCAATGCCCCCTCGGCCTCAGTTGGTTCCTCTCACCCACGATCTGCGCTCCTGAGCTCGGGTTGGAGGCCACAGAGACAAATGGCTGAAACACATCACCAGAAAAGCAGAAAAGCTGGATTTACAACTTCAGTCTAGTTATCTTTCTGCTTTATGTGCGGCTTTCAGGGGGTGAGACGGCCTTCATTTGGTTCCACATTAAACCTTAGCTAAGGGATGGTTAGATCCCTCCCAGCTGGAGGACTCTTCCCTGCTCTGGCAGTAACGAGCACAGCCAGGGCTCTCAGGCTGATCAGAGGTTTTATTCATATGCCAGGACTGAACACGCTGTCACCACACTGGCTGAGTCAAATGGGCTCTGCCTGGCTGATGGCAGCAGCGTGGAGCAGACCAGGCATAAGGTCTCAATCATGCCACTGTTGATTTGGGTTGTTACTGTGAGCCCAGGGAGCTGCCGACTCACAGGCAAAAGCGGGAGCTGTCTGCCCAAGTGCAGAGACACTGAGGGAATTGAGAGGTTTCTGGGCACGGTAGAAGGTAGAAAGGAACATCCCTGTCTAGCAGAAGGATTTTCTAGGCATTTAAGGTTTTCAAGTAGCATCCAACTAACAGCGCCGCAGAAAGAACAGCAGTAACAAAGAAGAGTTTATTTAAGCATCAGCAAAATACACAGTGCTGAGGCTCTGGAAATGTTTCCCTGAAGTTCCTTCTCCTGTAATCTGCAAAACATTATTGCAATTGTCACATTTATTTAAGAAAACACCAGGTTCTGTTTACACTTTAAAATATGCAGGTTTTTGTTTGTTTGTTTTTTTTTAAAAAAAAAAAGGTTGTATGCCCCAGGGGTCTGACTAACACAAATGGAAATCGCATGAACCTTGCCCATTAGCAAGAGGGTTTACTGCAAACACAAGCAGCATGTTACAGGAGCTTCAAGGAATTCTATTCTCAGGCTTATACTGAGGAGGAGGAAGGCAGAGATTATGTGCAGGACCAAGGTTTAGCTCAGAAAAGAGTGAACCCAGGTGAAACTGAGCCAGGCTGATGGATAAGACCTGATAGCAGCAGAACAGCAAACTCCACTCGCAGCCTGTGCTGTGTGTTGCCTTATGGTGACTTGATTTAATAGGATGGTTTACTGTTTCTCTGAGAGCAGCCCAGAGCTTGGCCCAGAAGGGAAAAAATAAAATGAAACAAGGGAAAACCTAGTTTTATCTTTTTTTTTTTTTTTTTTTCTCCTTTGTGCCAGTAAATACAATCCAAGCCAAGACCATAACAGGATCTAGTTGGAAGCTGTACGGTGCTCCTCTGAGGAGCATCCCACAGATTCCGTGGTATTTCCACCACCCTCCTGGCCATGGATTAGGATATAACCCATGGGGCAGTTATGGGGCTGCACCAGGACCAGGCAGGATGACTGTGGTACCCCATGGGACTGAAAGAATATCCTATTCACCCTCTTATTCTCAGAGTTTATATAAAACCATAAGCAGCTCAGGGGAAATCCTAGCACTGCATTTAATGGAATTTTGGGGGTTGTATCCTGCTCTAGCCCTGCTGGTGCATTTTACTGCAAGAAGAGGGATCAGCACTGCACCCCTCATCCAGTGGGGCTGATTTGGGAGTTTCAGAGCCCATAATCTGCCCCTACCCCCTCAGCAGACCTGGATGTTTCCCCCAGCTCAGAAGGGCTGGTTCCTGGCACAGCTCTGAGCAAGGACTCCCCTCCTGCCAGGGAGCACCTTGGCCAGGTGGTCGGATCTCTGGTGGAACGTTGTGCTGTGGCCCCTGGGGATGACATGGGGCCTGTCCCCCCTCACCTTTCCAGACCCTGTCACAGTGAATATGCTTCTGGTTGATGCCAGGCTTCGCTGAGCAGCCATGCCAGGGGAGCAGGGATGGACTTCAAGGCACCTTCAGGCTGGATGCATCTCCTCTCCCCAGGAATTCATTTATGGAATAAGCAGAGGCCTCTTTCGAGGCCTGTGTTCCGCTAAGTGAATATATAATAATGCAGTCCATACATTTATACATCATCCCCTGCAAACAGGGCCCTATTTAGGACAAGATCAGACTGTGCTTCTCCCAGCAGGGGTTGCATTAGCAATTCATTTCATAGTATAAAAGGAGTGTATGGAGACAATCATCCATAGCCTGAATAAAATACTGGAGGAGAAGCCAGGGACCAAGGGAGGGAAAAGATGATTTCTTTGAAAGGAAAGGAAAAATATAAAAATAAATTAAAAAAAAAATAGTACAGCTCCTGGAAAAGCAAGCCAAAATAGGAAATCCGACCTGTTTATTATTCTGTATTGATGAAAGGAGAGGAAAAGGGGGAATAAAGAATATATTTTGATGAAAATAGGACTAGTGAACTCAAAGAATGTATGAAAGGAGATTGGGAAGGAAAAGAGAAGATGTTTTGAGAGGCACATACAAATGCACATATGTGTGTGTGTGTGTGTTTGCACACACAGTCTGGAGGTGATCAGAAAGAATCTGAAGTAAAGTAAAAGGATTTAGAAATCCTGCCTGTAAAAAATTGCATTCTGCCTCCAGGATACGCAGAATGGAAGATGATAAATCAGGGAAAGTAGAAATGGGAAGGTGGAATATGGGAAAGAAGGAGGGAGAGAAAAGGAAGAGACAAAGGAAAGGTAAAGTGAGGACTTGTTTACTCTCTCTAACAGACCAGACCTTTCCAAGGTGCATGAGGGATCACCCAGCCAGCAAAAGCTTTCTGAGACAGAATGAAGCACATGCCCTCAAGCATCATTTGTCTTTTCCTCTATTTAATGGCCTTGTTTACATGAGGGCCAACGATTTCAGATGGAACAGCTCCTGTGCTTTTAAAATTGTGGCTGCCTGACAGGAGAACAAAGGTCCCAAGGAGGGGAGCGCTCCACAGTCTCCTACATGAAGCCTCTTTGAAACCAAATAAAAACCACAAAAGCAGACCAAAGTCAGTGATAATCTGTTCTAAATTCCCCATATGGCATTTCCCTGCCCTCCAAGAGGACTCAGCCCTTCACACTAAAACACTAAACCAAAGAGATTTAACTGCTGGCTGAGGTGTTGGAGCCACCTGCTCTGTGCTCAGAGCAGCTTCAGTGTTTGGCCATGTTTGTACAAACCCTCCTTCTGTAAAGAGAAAGCTTTCAGAGCAGATCATTCCCCACCCCAAGTCTCCTCTTCTTCACCATGCACCTCCTCAAAAGTACTTGTTAGAATCCCTTAGCCAGCGATGCTCACAGTTTTCCTTTCCTTTGTGCTGAGTTTCATCTGCTCCTGGGGGATTGAGGCACGTTGTAGGCAGCAGCTCTCTCTCTTCTCATCCCTCAAGCAGCAGGCACTCTAAGGATGCCTAATAAAATGTGAAGGGTCTGGAACCAAAGGCCTGAGTCTTATATTGCAACCACCTGTGTCAGTGTGGTTGGTGTTGGTGCTTGGCATGCCCGGCGTTGCAAGGGGGACCTCTGTCTTCCAGAGTCCCTCTAACAGTGCTCACATCCCTCTTCCCCAGGCCAGAGCAGATGCCTGGTTTATGACTCAATTCCTCTGCAATGCTGGGAAGCAATATCCATCCCAAAGACTGTGACCTGAGTGAGTGTGGCCCCGGATTCCCTCCAAACAGCTCACACAGTGAGCTGCCCCCTCCCCGCCCAGCTCCGTTTCCATCTGGCCCTGGTTGTTCACACCAACGAGCCTTCTGAGAAAGCCACTAATTAAAGGCATGTGATAGTTAAACTTTTGCTAATCAAGACAGATGAACCAAGCCTCGGGTGTATGATAGAGGAGCAGGATCACTCCTTCCCCCACAGTAGTCAGCCTTCAATTACAAGGCTCAGATATTATCGTGAAATATTCCCCCTGCAGCCCCATTCCACAGCTCCTGCTTGTGGTTCTCCTGGTTTGTGGTGTTTGTTTAGCGCTGTGGGGGTGTTTTGTCAGCAGCGTGTGCGAGCCTATCCAAATGTTAACGAGCCCATTAAGGACAGACAGGATGTAACGGGACCAGACACTGATGGACTGGCAGCAGGACAGACCGAAAAATCCGGGGGAAAATGTGTTCCTTTGCCCAGTTGCAGTGACAGATAGATTTAGGAGAAGAGCTCCAGGGCAAAGGACGTAGTCCAGACTGGGAGCCTGTCCCAGAAAATTACCGAGAGTGAACCAAGGGAACCACTGCCTCTTTTTAGAAGCCTAAAAATAAATAGGGAGAAAATTCACGGAGGTGGAGGTTTGAACAGAAGGAGTATTGGGCCCTGTTTTCGCCCTGTTCAGAAATCAAAGGACTTTGCAAAATGCAGATAGCATGAACCAAAGCAGAAACTGAGCTACTGAGTTGGAAGCAAACTGTCCTGACCTCTATTACACTTCAGAGTTGTTGATTTAACTGCTGTATTTTCAAACATCTAATTTGCACCCTCAGGTCACCAA